TGCTCACCGGTGACCCTGTGCCCGCAGAACAGCATCGCCCTGGCCTCCATCCAGCTGCCCCCCAGCCTGTTTGCCAGCCCGGTCCCGGCCGCACCGGGGACTGACTGCAAGCTCCAGCTGCTGGTCTTCCGCAACGGGAAACTCTTCTGCAGCACCGGGAACTCCTCCCGGCTGGCCGACGACGGCAAACGCCGCAGCGTGGCCACCCCGGTCATCTACGCGGGGACCTGTAAGGGCGGCGTGGTGGGGGGGCTTGGGCTGCTCTGGGGGTGCTTTTCTTGGGGGATGGAGCTCCATGGGGCTGCTCGGGGTGTTGACAGGGTGTTCCTGCAGTGCAGAGCCATCCCTGGGGTTCTCTTGGAGAGATGGGATGTGGGGGGGCCCCCATGTCCAGGCCCTCTGGGGGTGCAGGTGGAGGGGTGTCACTTGTCCTGCTGACCGGGTTTCTCTGTTGCTGCAGACGGCTGTGGAGTGGGAAACCTGTCGGAGCCGGTGGCCGTGTCACTGCGGCACCCCGGGGAGGGCGCGGACCCCGTGGCCGCGTACTGGAACTTCGAGGTGCTGGGGGGCATGGGGGGCTGGAGCGCCGAGGGGTGCCAGCTGGCTGCCCGTGAGCCCAACGTCACCTCCCTGCACTGCCGGCACCTCAGCAACGTGGCCGTGCTCATGGTGGGTGTGGGCGAGCGGTGGGGCTGCGAGTGGGGTGTGGAGCCGGAGGGCTGCAGCGAGGGCGGTGGGGGGGGACAGGGGGCAGGGGCAGTGATGTGGGGTGTGACGGGCTGTGCTGTGCCGTGCAGGAGCTGAGCGGGTTCCCCAGCGAGGCGCGAGGCGCCGTGGAGGTGCTGCACCCGGCCATGTACACCTGCACAGCCGTGCTGCTGCTCTGCCTCTTCACCACCATCATCACCTACATCGTCCACCACGGGTGAGGCAGCGCCCTGGTGCCCACGGAGGTGGCTGGGGGGCTGTGCTGGGGTGGGTGTCTCCATGGCAGCTGGAGGGGCTCCTGGGTCCTGGTCCTTGGCCCACGTGCATGCATGTACCCATGTGGCTTCTCCACCAGCCACGCTCCGTGCCAGGCACAGCCTGTTGGCCTCTGGATGCAGGATTTGTGCTGGCAGGAGCTGTGGCTCTCTCAGGGCTGGGCAGGAGCTCACAGGTACCGGCTGTGCCTCTCGCTCTTCCAGCACCATCCTCATCCCGCGGAAGGGCTGGCACATGCTGCTCAACCTCTGCTTCCACATCGCCATGACAGCCGCCGTCTTCGCGGGAGGCATCACCCTCACCGGGTACCGGATCGTGTGCCAGGCGGTGGGTACCGGGCCAGGGGACGGGCAGAGCCCAGCGCTGTGGGCTGCCACAGGGCCGTGACCGGGGGGACACAGCCATGTCAGCAGCACCCCCTCCCCAGCCGTGGCCTCCTCCCACAGGTCGGCATCATCTTGCACTACTCCTCCCTCTCCACCCTGCTCTGGATGGCGGTGAAAGCGCGAGTGCTCTACAGGGAGGTGGCCTGGAAGGCACCACAGCAGCCAGAAGGGGACACGTCCCAGCCAGCCCCCAGACCCATGCTGAGGTACAGACCCCCCTTCCCCTCGCCCCGACCTGGGGGCAGCTGCGGGACCATCTCCTGCCACACGTCCAGGGGCTGGGGCAGGACTTGTTCTGCTGGGCAAGCCCATCCCATGCTCTCCTGAGGGCTGCAGGGCTGCAGTGACACTGTCCCTCCCCGTGCAGGTTCTACCTGATCGCCGGCGGGATCCCCCTCATCATCTGCGGGATCACGGCGGCCGTCAACATCCACAACTACCATGACAACAACCCATAGTAAGTGTTGCCACTTGACATTCCTTCCTCCCCACACGGGTGGCCTCCCTCTGCTGGGGCAGGGAACTGGGAATCTGGGCAAGATGGGGAAAGGACAGTGAGGTTTTCCCCAAGAGTTATCCATATACTGGGAAAAAATCAGCCAGGGCAACCAGCACGGCTCCGCAGAGCCCGTGCCATCAGGGCAAGGCTGCCGAGCACCTCCACGCCATGACCCCTCAGAGCCCCTCTCATCCCGCACAGCTGCTGGCTGGTGTGGCGGCCCAGCCTGGGAGCTTTCTACGTCCCCGTGGCTTTCATCCTGCTCGTCACCTGGATTTACTTCCTCTGCACCGGGCTCAGCCTCCAGTGCCGACCCTTGCGCAGGAAAGACGTCCCGGAGCCACTGGAGCCACCGCCACGGCTGGGGGGCACCGGTGACCTCCTGACAGACTCTGGGTCCATCTCGGTGACACTGAACTCGGGGCCACCCTGTCCCGAGGGGGACGGTGTCTACTCCCTGCGGGTGCAGTTCTGGGCACTGGTGACCACCCACGCCTTGTACGTGGCGCTGTGGACGTTCGGCGCCATGGCCGTGTCGCAGCGCTGGTACCTGAACATCGTCTTCAGCTGCCTCTACGGCGTCACCGCCGTGGCGCTGGGGCTCTTCATCTTCGCCCATCACTGCCTGCGGCGCCGGGACGTGCTCAGCTCCTGGTTCTCCTGCTGCCCGTCGTACCGGAACGCGCTGCCCATGCAGGCCTATGTCCACCCCGGGCTGGGGCCGGAGGACGGCTCGCAGGTCTTCATCGGCTGCCACGACCCCGAGGCAGCTCGTTCCGGCGCCTCCTCCTCCTCCTCGCCCAGCAGCGCCGGCTCGGCCGGGGGCCGCTGCAAGCTCACCAACCTGCAGGTCGCCCAGAGCCAGGTGGACGCCCGCCCGGCCGCCTGCCCGGAGCCGGACGCCGCTGACGGGAAACCCACCAGGCACGCCAGCAACCTCCACGGCCGCAGGAGCCACCGGGGCAGAACTAAGCCGTGCCGGGACGGGAAGCACCACCGCTTGAAAATGCTGCGGGGCCCCTCGGAGCACCCGTCCAGCGAGAGCGGGAGCCTCCACAACAGCCACTCCGAGAGCTACCCCAGCGGCAGGACCAGCCCGGCCAGCGGCGGCCGTGCGGGGCTGCGGGGGCCCCAGGATGGGGAGGCGGCCGCCAGTCCCTCGGAGGGCAGCGACGGCGGGCGGAGGGCGCCCGACTTCGCCGAGGGTCGCCGGAGGAGCGCCAGCCGGGACAGCCTGCGGCCGGGCGGCGCCGCCGACAGGGAGGCCAAGCGCCGCTCCTACCCCCTGAACGTGGGCAGCCACAACGGCGGCCTCAAGGGCAGCAAGTACGACATCAACCTGGCCAGCGCCGACGGCGTGGCCGGCATGAAGACCGGCCTCTGGAAGAGTGAGACCACGGTGTGAGGGCAGGGAAGGACCGACGGCTGCCGTGATCTCCTCCGGAGCTGCTCTGCGGGGATCACCACGTGCACTAAGCAGGGACAGGTGGCACAGCTGGGGGCTCCGCTGACCCCGGGCCCACCTGTCCCTTTCCCCTCGAGGAGGCTCCGAGCTTCCCGCGGTGGTGCCGGGGCGGAAACTCCAGGCAATCCTTGCAGGAGTTGCGACCGTGCTTCGATCCCTCCGGTGCGCCGCCTGAGACTGATCCTAAATGCTATTTTATATTATACAGAGGAAATGTCTATTTTTCAAAGCTATATTATTGAATGTATATAAATGTATAGACAGAGCCGTAAGTGGCACGAGGGCCTCGCTCCCCGCCCGCGCTCCCCGGGAGGGGGTGGGCACTGGGCCAGGGCCCGCTCGTGCCACGACTGCAATATTCCCACTGAGGGACCACCCCAAGTGCCCTTTACGTCCAGACACCGCAGCCCCAGGCTGAGCAAGCGGCTGCTGGAGAGCAGCTGCTCCCTCTGGAGTGGTTTTATCCAGCGCTCAGCCCTGGGGCTCGCGCGGTGCCAAAGCCATATTGCAAAGCCAAGCACAAGGTAAGAGGAGCCTCAGCTCCAAGGTGAGGATCACCTCGACTGTCTGCACTGCTTTAATGCCAGACACTAAAGTCACGGCCAGGAGAGGCTCCCAGGCCCTCGGAGGCACAAGCCACGCAATGGGGTGGGCTGGCAGAGCCGGGACTGACCCTCTGCGCCAAAGCACCAAAGAACCAAGATGTGTGACAAACCCAGAGCAGGCCCATGTCCTTAATCCAGAAAATACTCGGGTTTGCTCTTAGGAAGGCAGAGAAACCTCCCTGGGGAGCAGGGACCATTCCTGGGAATGCAGGATAACAATGCCAAGGAATTAGGGACCTTCCTCAGACAGTTCCCACGATGCAGTCAAAGGGCTGGAACCTGGATAAGCACTTACTGTTCCCATTGAAAAACAAGTCCCCCCCCTTCTTCCCAGCAGGCAGGTAAAACAGCCAGGCTGTGGGGAGGGCTGCAGCAATGCAGGACGGGAGTCTGGTGCCTCCTCTGCCCTTTCCAGCCTCCCCTGCCTCAGCTTCCCCTGTGTGCAAATCAGTTTAATTATGTAGCTACCTCCGAGGGGTTGAGGGGCCGGCAGGGGCCACGAGCCAGGGGAGGAAAAAGCACTTAGTGGGACTTGGTCTCACCTCAGAACCCCTCACCCCGCAGGGCTGGGGCACCCCTGGGCTTAACCTGCCGCTCCCCCGCCTGCCTCGGCTTCTCTGCCCAGCTTAGATGCTTAAATATTTCACTGTCCCTGGTATTTAACACAATTTAAACCCTTGCTGTGGCTCCCGCAGCCCCCCCAGCCTGGCTGATGCCCCGTGGTTCTATCGCTTTGCTGCACTGTGACAGTATTAGAGAAAAAGCTTTGTATTCTTAATTACACTTTGTTTTGTCTGTTTACAAGCGAACGACATATCAACAGAGCTTCCTGCAATATCCGGGGGGGAGGGAGGGGAAATATGCCAAAGAAATGTCTTTAAAGGGGTCTTTTTTGCATTTTTATATGAATAGAATGTTTCTAGCAGATATGTTTTGTTTAATATATTAAAGACTTGCCAATCTGCCAAGACCCACTGTTATTTCTCTAAGACTTCATGTTCAGTATAGCCTGGCCCTAGGGGGGGTTTTTGGACCCTCACAAACTCATTCTGCTGAAGGGATTACAAGTGGAAGGTGAGGCTGCCCTGGAAAACCTGGCACCTGCACTTCCATTTATTTCTGTCACAAATGTTAACATGACCCAAAGCAGTCACGCTACAAAAAAGCCCCATTTTGGTCCAGAGCACAAAGGAGGACCCAGCCCCATAAGCCTGTTCCGCTCTGTCCTTGGCAGGTTTCACACTTTTGGTCCCAAAACTGTCTCTGGGCCATCCTCTGGGCCCCAATCACCTTCAGGACCAGGCCTTGGCCTTCCTGAAGGACCGGATCTCCTCGGGGCTCCGCAGGTACTGCTCGATTTCGCTGTCGGAGATGGGCTCGTCGCCGGTGACGGGCGGGTCCGGAGCGCTCGGAGCTGCTGAACGCAGCCTCTTCCTGGGATGGATGAGGCAGGGTGGGAGCAGGGGCCTTGGGCACTTCCCTGCCAAGCGACAGCCCTTCTGTGCCTGGGGAGGAGAGCTGGGAGAGCCCTGGCCCAGGGAGTCCTGGTCTGTGGAGTCCTGGTCTGGGGCGCCCTTATCCAGAGAGTCCTGGGCTGAGGAGCCCTTATCCAGGGAGTCCTGGGCTGGGGTGCCCTCAGCTGGCAAGCCCTGGCCTGTGGAGCCCTGGCCTGAGGCTGCCCCACCCTGCTGCTCCTCCCCAGCCTGGCAGAAGGCGTTTTTCAGCAGGAACACGCGGTGCTGCAGCAGGTCCCCCACGTGCTTCACCACCGTCTTCTTGTCCAGGTGGAAGCCGCGCAGCCAGGCGAGCTGGGAGGCCATTCCCAGCAGGATCTCCAGCAGCTCCCTCAGCCTCAGGTGGGCGGGGGGAGGCAGATCCACCCCTGCCACCCTGCAGAACCGCGCCAGGGGGCAGGAGAGGCGGGCGCGGGGCTTCAGCGACTGCCACGCCAGGAACGCCGCGGCCGTCACCACGGGCAGGGGGTGCCGGCCCGTCACCAGCCACGTCTCGCTGGCCAGCTCCACGATCCCCATGGTCCGGGCCACCAGCTTCTCCTTGTCCTCCAGGAACGGGGCAGGGACGCCGGGCGAGGGCTGGAACAGCCGGAAGCTGCGGGAGCAGAGAAGCCTCGGTCACCCGGGAGAGGAGGCCGCAGGGAGGCCCTCTGGGACGAACACGCCCTGCCCCGGCCAGGGGCTGCTGCTCGTGGACACCAGGAGGGATTTCTTCATGGGAAGAATGGTTAAAACATTGGAATGGGCTGCCCAGGGAGGTGGGGGAGTGCCCACCCCTGGAGGTGTCCGAGGAAGGACTGGCCGTGGCACTCAGTGCTCTGGGCTGGGATCAAGGTGGGGATGGGGCACAGGGTGAACTCGATGACCCTGAGCACCTCCCTGCCCTCTCCAAACTGAGGAGGAAATCCCAGCCCAGGAGTGACGAGGGAGGCACAGAAGCCACGGCCCCGTGTCACACAGCTCAGCCCGGCCCGTGCCCCCTGGAAGGGGCCCCGCTACCTGCTCAGATGTGTCTTCACCAGGTCTGCCAGGCTGAGGGCGGGCACAGAGAGCCCCAGCTCCTTCTGCAGGCTCAGGAAGACGCCGGCAAACAGCTCCTGCTTGGCGTACAGGAGGGAGCAGACGGTGCCCATGGTCAGGGGCCAGTTGTGCTGGCGGCACGTCACGAACACGCAGCAGCCCCCCAGCAGCTCCTTCTTCTCCAGGCTGACCAGGTGGAAGGCAGGGAGCTGCAGGGCCCTCTGGAAGTAGGACACGGCCGTCTCTTCGAACACCGCCGGGAGCTGCAGGACCTTGCACAGGTCCTGGACCCGCCGGATCCCTGCGGGGAGACACAGCCCTCAGGGGTGGGATCGGGCAGCTTCTTCCCAGGATCCTGGAGCAGGCAGAGCTCGCCCAGCAGAGCTGAGTGCAGCACCAGCTGCCTCATTCAGGCTCTGCCACCAGCTCCAAAGGGTTTCACCGCTTTTTTTTTAACCGTTATAAACACATTAAACAAACTGGAGCAGCAGCCAGGGGGGCTCGGGGTGGGGGAGAAAGGCTCTTACCTCGCTGCAGGCAGCGGCTCAGCTGCTCCTTCTGCCCGGTGCTCTGGGAATAGGCCACCTCTGGAAACACAGGGTTAGGTCAGATAGCCCTGCAGGGATCCCAGGGGGACAGCGCCGTTTGGATTTGGGGCAACCAGGACCCCATGAAGCTGGATTCCAGCGATCAGAAGGGACAGAGCAGCTCAGGTGAGAGAGGGGCGGGACCCCCCCCAGGGCCCCCCATACACGGACCCAGCCAATGGCCCACTGCACTTAAAGCTCTTCTAAGAGATTTAAACGAGATTTCGACAGCCTCTTTCATTGACAATAAAGGATTCCACCCCACAGAGCCCTTATAAGAGATTCAAGCGCCCAGGAGCGGCTCATCAGCGCCTCGCAGCCCAAACCCCGGCAGGGAAACGCTGAGGGCCACGGAGGGAGCGGGGAGCGGCCGGTGCGACGCTCGGGCCGGCCCCGCGGACACCGGGAGAGCTCCGGGAGGGACCGGGATGGGGGAGACACCGCGGGCGCGGGGCGGGCCGCGTACCCCGCAGGTGCTCCTCCTCGCTGTAGGTGGTGGTGAGCAGCCCCTCGGCCAGGACGCAGCCGCAGGCGGCGCAGACCAGCTGCTGCTGCGCGTACAGCGCGTCCTCCACCAGCGCGGCCGAGCCGCACCCGGGGCAGCGGCCCCGCGCCGCCATCGCCGCCATGGCCGCGGCCGGACCGCGGCGGGGGGAGCACCGCCCGCAGCCAATGGCGGCGCGGCCCGCGGTCCGTACCCCACCCGCCCGCCCGGCCGAGCCGCCGCGTTCCGCCCTCCCGCGCGTTCCGCCGTGCCGGGGCAGGGGCAGGCGGCGGCGGCGCCGGGAGCCCCGCACGGACCCTCCGGGGACCGCTCGGGGCGATAACGGCGCTCTGGGCTGCGGGGGAGGCTCTGCAGGCTGATTTCCTGAGTCCCCGCTGCTCCCGGGGAGCGGGGACATCGCACCCCTCACGGGGTCACCTCACCCCTCATGGGGTCACCTCACCCCTCACAGGGTCACCTCACCCCTCACGGGGTCACCTCGCCCCTCACGGGGCCATTTCACCCCTCACGGGGTCACCTCACCCCTCACAGGGTCACCTCACCCCTCACGGGGCCATTTCACCCCTCACAGGGTCACCTCACCCCTCACGGGGTCACCTCACCCCTCACGGGGCCATTTCACCCCTCACGGGGACATCGCACCCCTCACGGAGCCCATCTCACCCCTCACGGGGCCATTTCACCCCTCACGGGGCCACCTCACCCCTCACGGAGCCGTCGCACCCCTCACGGGGACATCACAGCCCTCACGGGGCCATCTCACCCCTCACGGGGCCATCTCACCCCTCACGGGGCCATTCGGCTCTGCCCTGCAGAAACTCCCGGCTCTGCAGGTGCGGGCCAGCCCGCCCGTCAGGTTTCCCCACACCCTTGTTTGCCAAGGAGCTTCTTCCTCCTGCACGGAAAAAAAAAAAACCCTGCCCCGAAATACCTGGGGATGAGCAGAGCTGGTCACAAGGGCAGGATCATCCCTTCCCATCCCGCTCTTCCAGAATAAAAGCAACAGCTGGGAACAGGGTACACAGAACGCTGGGCTTAAGGTGGTTTTTTTATTTTTAGTGTTCCATGAAAACAAACAAACAAAAAAAAAAGGTGTTTAAAAACAAAACAGTACCTCGGGCTAAAAAGCAGAGAGAGTACAAACAGGAGAAATACATTCAGATCCTTCAATAATAATAATAAAACAGTAAGTTTGATTCTCAAGGCCCTTAAAGGAAATAAAAATGCCAGTCCCCCTCACACCGAAGGAAGGTTTTAACGAGCATTGCCAATAAAAACGAGGTCCAAGGCTGTGGAAGTCGAGGGCTGTGACCCCACACAGTGCTGGGTCTGCTCTGGAAGAGGCTCCAGCCACCCAGGCAGGCACAGCTCGGGGTCCCCTCCACGGACACAGCTGTGACCAGCCAAAAAAGCAAGCCAGGGGAGGATGTTACAAGTTTTTAAGGCTTCACCTGTGCTCAGAGCACCTGTTATTGCTTTGGTTTCTGTGCAGGCAAGGCTGGGATGCACGTCCTGGAATGCACACACCCCAGGATCCGCGAGATCCCCTCACCCCGAGGTGCCGCCAGCGACTGCCGTACCCAGAACGTTCCAGAACAAGCCCAGTCCTGCTCCCCTGTGCCCAGTCACAACCAGTGACACCAGGCTGGGTGTCTGACCCCGGTAAGTCACCGCCCCAAGGCACAAAGGGGCTCTCCTTTCCGACCCAGCTCAGAAACGCCGAGGAATAAAAGTCTAAAATCCACGTCTGTCAGTGAGGCACAGGATCCTCTCTTCCAGAGATCCACAGAGGCACAAGGAGGAAACAAATCAGTCCTTCATCTTCCTCACTCGAGAAGGCACGAGAAGCAGCAGCAGTTTCAGCAAGGCCGACCAGCACCACTCAGGATTAAACCACCCCCCTGCCTGCATTGGGGACCCTTCATTCACAGCAGAGAGTACAGGAGAACAGAGAGAATCCCCCCCCACTGCTCAAATAACACTAAAATGAGGAAAAAGAAGTACCTGAAGTCTTGGAAGACTCTTGAACTTAAGGCTTGTTTCAGGTTGAGCTCCCCCTGAGGGGCAGCTCTGCCAGAGAAGCTCCAGACTTTGGTAGCAGGTCAGTTTAGAGGAAGAAAAATGTCATTAACAGCACTTTTTTTTGATTTTCCTAATAAATGTTTACATCTCCAGGCAAATATATATTAAACTGCTCTTTGTTACAAAAATACAGTATTCGAGATCTCCAGTGGTTTCCAGTGGTTTCTGACAACTGCAGGCAGACTGCTCACAGGGTGAGAGCCCAGCCAGCTGGTCCAGTCCCTCAATAAAGTGCTTTGCTGTAGAAAAACTGAGTTAGAAACTCACCCCTGAGGCAGGGGTGAGAGCCAATAACCCAACCCCAACCAGGGGTGAGAGCCAATAACCCAACAGCTTCCAAAGGTGGGAGTGTTTACTTCCACAGAATTAAGGCTGGAAACTTGAAGCTTTGGTCCTCATGAAGCTCTGGTCCTCTGCTCCTCACTCTGTATTCCAAATTCCTTCCAAGCCTTTTATGGACTCTCCCAGCCCTGGTAAATCCCAGAGGTGCAAAGAGGCATCTGATTTTGGTTTTTTGTTTTTGATCTTTGACAAGAGCTCGCTTTAAAAAGAGGAAAAAAAAAAGAGAAAAAAAGCCACATTTAGTTTTCAGAGGAGGAGGAGGAGGTTGTGGTGGCTGCTCAGCAGCACTGAGCTGCTCCTGCTGTGGGGTGGGCAGAACAGCCCTGCCTCCACTGATTTAAAATGCACCTTTGGTCCAAATCCATTGCTGCCATTCCTATGGTAGAGATGTACCGTGAACATCAGCGTCTCCTACACCAAAAAAACCTGCCAACTTCCCCTTGGAGAGCTCTTTGGAACAACATCCACTTGATGAGATGAACTGAGATTTGCTTCTTCCTTTCCAATCTTTTAACTTAGGTTCAACTTTCAGGGCATTAATTCCTTTTAAATTACAGCTCAGGTCTGAAGCTGGGGCATCTTTGGACTTCTCCAGTGTAATTATTATTTTAAAAACAATCAAATCTTCAAGCTCTACTGTACAGGGCTTCATATTGCACTACAACTTCAGATACGGAAAGAAGAGTAACTGATCTATCAGAGCTGCTACAAAACAAAACCATTATAAAAAAAAAAAAAATCTTCCTAAAGGATCATCAGTGCCTTGCTGGGAAGCAAAACACATCAAAAACCCTCCTCCTTTCCATCACAACCAGCCTTTGGATTAATGCCTGGTCTTCCCAGACAGTGGGAAGAAAACAAAAAAAAATAAATATGATAAGGTGACTCCATTACAAGAGCTGAGATGGAACTACTAATCAACCCGAGAGTTGCTCAAGGCAGAAACAGGAAACAGGTCATTTTCCAGGGGCAGCACAACCTGCTCCACACCAGCTGCTCTGGGAGGAACTCAGTCCTTCTCCTCCAGCACGCCCAGACCCTTCACATCTTCCCAGCCTTTCTGTTCCCAGACACGGAAACACGGAGGATGTTGGGGGTCTCTTCCATCACCCTGACGAGCAGGTTGTCGATGTAGTCCTCGAGCTCCCGCACCTGCAGGTCCTTCCTGGTAATGGTGTCCTTCTGTTTGAGCACCAGCTGGATCAGCTCGTCGTGTGTCAGCTGGGCGTAGGCGTAGGCAGGGTCTGAAGGGTCGTATTTCTGGGGGAGAGAAGAAAGGCAGGGTCAGTGCTGACACACGGGCATTCCAAACCGGGAATGGCACCGGCCTGGGGGATTCAAAGCACCAGCAAATGGGTTTACAAACAGAAGTGGCAGAGCCACGGCTGCTCTGTGCTCCACCCCTTCCAAAACGCGATTCCTCCAGCTCCCAGAACGCTGCCCAGGCAGGGAATGTGAGCACAACAGGCTCCCATGGTGCCTCACACTGGATTTACGTGGAACCAGAGCACCACAACAAGTTTTCAGCTCGCTCAGAAGAGCAGTGTGCCAGTTTGAACCACTTCGTTCACATCCTCTCCCCTCACACCAGAAGGAGGCACTGCTGTTATTTCAGTTCTAGCCTCTCATGTTCCCCAGAACACCCTCAGAGACAGTAACAGGGCCCAGGGCTTTCCCTGCTGACCCAGGAATGCTCCCAGCCATTCGGATCAACTCTACTCCAGATCAGTTTGCAAGAAAATAAATATTTGAAGACTGTCCCCACCTCTAGGGGCTGACCAAAGGCAAGTTCACACCCAACATGGTCTAATAACCAGGGTTCTTTTTCTGCCCAGGATGTGAGATGTGAGCCCAGGCCAACCATCTGGAATACACAGTGAAAGTGCCACTTCCCTCCGTACCTTCACACTCATCTCCAGCAGCTTTTCGTTCATGGTGCTGATGACATTCAGGTTTTTACTCTGAGTCTTGTTTGCCATGGCATTCATGGGCTTCACAGGATGGAGTCTGCAAGGGGAAAAAAAGGGTTCCTGTTGTTTAGGCAGGACATGTAACACCAGCATGACACAGATCTCCTGGCCTAAAACAAATACAGCAGGAAACTGGGGAAGGTTCCTACCCTTCTCTGTCTCCTGAGAGAAAAGAGATTCAGCTTCAGAAGACAAGGCATTTCTAAGCTAGAGGGATTTTGTGGGTATTTTCCAGTTCTCTGCTATCTTTACTGACTTAAGGCATTGGAGATAAAGCAGGAGCAGCAGGAAGGGAAATACATCCCGAGTGTGTCATGGAAGGAAAGCCAGGATGGGCTACACGAGGAGGCAGAACACAGGGCAGCTTCTCTGATCTCAGGCACTGGTATTTCAGCCTGACCTTCCTAACCAGAACATATTTGTGGTTCTTGCAACACATCAAATACTTCCACTGTCCTGGGACAAGCGTGTTAGGCCTTTTCCAGTCTGAGCTGGCACCACAAGCTGCCAAGAAGTGCTGTTGTTATGTGCCTGAGCAGGATTTGCGTCACCAGTTTTAACACAGGAAGCAAATTTTACTTCTATATCTCAGTCAGTGCTGGCCCAGGGGTGTCCTGGACCCCAGGCAGGTGAAGCCCCCACAGCTGAGAGGTCAGGGGCACAGCAGGAGCTGCACCACTTGCTGTGATCACTCTGAGGAGCTCCATTCAGCCAGGAAATGAAGTGGTTTATCAGGGTGACCATTCTCCCACATCTGAAAAACGTCCCAGTTGCAGTCCATGTCCCCAGCTGGATGAAATGACCCTATTCACCTGCTGTACTTCCCCCAGTGGTTTCCCTGAGAGCTGTGATGAGTGGCTGGTCCCCTCTGGGCACCCTCAGGAGCTGCACAGATCCTTCTGGAGCCAGCAACAACCCCAAGCTGGGTGACAGCGCCCAGGCCCCGACAGATCCAGGCCCCAGAGGAAGTCAGGGCTGCCTGATGCCGAGAGCACTGCAGAGAGCAGCAGATCCAGCAGCTGGAGGGGCAGATCTGGAGGCAAAAGCAGAGCTCACACCTGCACAGAGGTAGCTGCTGTGACCCCCATGTGGTCTCACCTGTGCTTAGGAGACACGGTTTCCCCACCCCGCGGGGTTTGGTTAGGGAACGTTTCAGAGGGTGAAACCCGTGCCTGGAGAAGCCTCTTCTTGCCCGAATTTCCCGCTTTATCTGCGAAGCCCTCGGCTGTTGGCTTTTTCGGAGACTCTGCTCTACGACTCGGGGTGTCAGAGAGAAGGGAGTGAGAGGAAGAGGAAGGGTGGCAAGGACTTGAGAGGGAGGAAGAGGAAGCAGAAGGCTCAGAGAGGTCACGCTCTGCAGGCTCCTCAGCACCTGCACTGGTTCCCAGCTCTTGTTTCTCAGAATGACTGTTGCACTCCCCAGAATGAGACGTCACACCTAAGGCTGAGTCAGCTCCCTGGATACCGACCCTGGGAGCACCCATTCCAGCAGGCAGCACGGGTGATCTGCCTGGCTTCCAAGCAGCGGGAACTCCTCCTCCTTCTCCTCCTGGAGCAGCCAGGGTCATGGGGGCTGCAGCAGAGCTCTCCGAGAGCTCTCCCTGCAAAGGGGTCAGACCCTGGGGCTGCTCTCCAGTCCCTGGAACACCTTCATCACCCACAGTGACCCCACAGCTCTCCTGGCAGTCCCCCAGCAGCTCGTCATCGGAGCCCCCCTCCAGGATCACGGGCAGACTGGCCACCTTGGAGCAGCGGTCTCCAGGAACGGGAATGGCAGCCTGGAGACTCGTGAGACCAGCAGATAAATCATAATCATCTTCGTTTTTTAAAGGCCTGTCACCTCCAGGTGTCACTGGAGGAGGGACAGTCTCCGAGGAGCCACTGTGGGGGAGGCACCCACGAGCAGCTGAGGCTTCACCAGCAGGTAACAGGAGCCCAGGCATGGATTTTACACCATCACCACCCTTTAACTCAGCCTGGGAAACCGGTGGGCACTTCCTCAGTGCCACAGCCCTCCGTGGGGCTGGCTTTGGTGGGACAAGGACCTCACTGCCATCCCTCTCTGCATCTGCTTCCCAAGGGGACACTGAGCAGGCTCCCAGGGCTGGTTTGACCTGGGGAATTGAGTAATTTCTAGCCAGTGGAGCTGCCTGTGGCTCTAAGGGGGGTGCACGTTGTGCCCACTGCTCTCCAGCACAGACCTCCTGCTCCTCCCTGGGCTCGCTGTCACCAGCCTTGGAGAGAGATGCCCAGCCTGTGTCACCCCTGCAGGGCTCAGCGTTTGCACCAGTGACCTCCACAGTGGGTTTGCTGCTCCGGAGGGGACCTTGTGCTGTCCCTGCAGAGCTCTGCTCCCAGCTCACCAGCCAACCCTGCTCGCCCCTCTGCTGTCCCTGGACCCAACCCCCCGCTGGAATCAGAGTGCTGCTCTCCACCTTCCTGCCCTCCCAGACCTGCACCACCTGCTCTAACACCCTGCAATCCACCCAGGACAAAGAACACGGATTCCCCACTGCCTGGCTTGCAGCTTTCCAAAGAATCCTCAGCGTGAAGCTGGGGAGAATCGCAGTGCTGCTGCTGAGCCAGCCCAGGAGGGTCAGAAGGGAGATCAGACAAGGTGCCAAGAGGGTCTGGCCCAGCTGTGACATCACTAGTTACAGCCACACCTGCAGAGCCCCCTGAAGCATCGTGAGCAGGGTGTCCTGCTGAGGAACAGTCCCCACCACGAGGAAGGCAGGAAGGGGAAGAACCAGCGGCACTTTGGAAAGCTGGCACACCTGACTGCCCCCCACGCTTGGACACGAAGGGATTGTTGTCTTTGAAGTGACAATCAGAGGGGAGGGAAGGTGTGGGTGGGACAGACAGACCCCGGGAAGCCCCCACAGCAGAGTTCTCAGGACCCTGCCCCCAGTCAGCAGCAAAGGGATTATTACCCCTGGCAGAGACCTGCCCAGGAAGAGGTGCTTTGGGAACAGGGGCTGGAAGATGATGGGATGAAGGGAAAGGGGCAATCCCATCAGGATCCAGGGCTGTGGATGCCCTGTCCCACTTGGGAGTAAAGGGGTTCTTGCCATTCCAAAGCTCTGCAGCAAAAGCAGGAGAAGTGAGAGAGGCAGAAGAACTAGTGATGTTTTCAGAGTCTGGCACTTGGACCTTCTGCCCCCTTTGAGAAACAAAAGGGTTATTGGCACTGCTGATATGGTGCACAGAAAGAAAAGCAGGGAGGGGGTCAGGTGCAAGAGTAGGAAGCGTGGCTTTGGGTTCCTCCTCTGGAGACAGGCCCAGTCTGCAAAAAGGGACAAAAAACTCGCATGTCACTTGCGGATGCAACACGAGGCAGGAACAGACAAGCTTTAGCACCAGCCTCCATCAGCTCCTGCCACCGGGGGTGAATTATACTTGCAAGAGACCTCAGAGCCTGTCTGAGAGACTTTATATCCTTCACTGCATCTTTACGAAGGACTTTATGTCATTTTATGTCAGAACTCTTCTGCTGCAGAGCTTGTTTTTGTTGCTTTAGGCACCATCTCTTTGCACCCCAAGCAGGTTTATTAGTACATAAAACACTTCATAGGCAAGAAATTTAAACATGAGAAGCACTGAAAATGAGGAGCTAGGGATACACACAAACCACAGCCTTATTAGTAGGGCATCCCTATAGATATATATAAAACCCCAGACACACACAATTTATATATATCTGTGTATGAAGGATAAAGGAGCAGAATTTCCGAAAAAGCCTTGGTGTACAAATCCACACAAAATCCCTTTGTGTTGCTGTGAATGATGCCAAAAAGCAGAAGGGCTCCAAGGTTAACCTCTGGAAGACCACAGCCAAGTAGAGAAGAGGGAAGCACAGATGTTAGAACAGGCACTTCTGACCCCAGGGAGGTTCCAGTCGCACAGCTCAGGCAGAGTTAGTTTTTGCAGGAGATCCAGCGAGAAAAACCACCCCTACAGTACCTACACATGTGCCTGCACTCAGAGAAGCACTACTCTGGCATCACTCACAAGGAGCATTCCTATATCCACCTGTTCTTCATACCCACAAAGAACCTCAGAGTTATTTGCTGCCAAAGCACCCAACGCCAGCGTGAATCCCGCGGGTGCCCGCAGAGCCCAGCTGTGGCAGGACACAGCCCACACCACCACCCTGCCACCACCACTGCCCATCCCCATTCCCATCAGCAGCTGGGACTCACCTGGGCTTCACCGTGGGCTTCACAGCTTTGGTCTTGGCCGGGGCAGCAGCTTTTTCAGGTTTCCGTTCCTCCTCACCAGGGCCGAGCGCCTGCTTGTTTGCAGTGGTGTCTTCTGTGCTCTGAGTGTCTCCTGATGGGTCCCCTCTGCCCAGATCTGCTGGAGGTTCAACACATTTGGCCTCCTCCTCACTGCTCTCTTCGGGAATTTTGTTCTCCTCGCTCTGCAGGGTCCTGTCGGGAATATTCTCAGCGTCTCCGGCCTTCCCCGCCTCCTTCTTCCCAGTGACCAGGGAGAGCAAGGCAGACTTTTTGTGGTCTGGCTTTTTGGTCTCCCTCCCAGCCTCGGTGCTCGGGGGAACGCTGGTGTCCAGGTGCTCCTCGCTGCTCAGCAGTTTGTACGACGGCAGAGTCATGGATTTGAAGGTCTCCAAGGACGTGGACCCAGAGAAAGCCTGACTAGGAGAGGTTCTTCCTGTCTCTTCAGGTGTTTTGGTGGACCTGGAATACAGGTTCTCCTCTGAAGCGAAGAGCTGCTTCCTCCTGAAGTTGAGAGGAGAGGGGGAGGAGGTCGGGGTGTTGTCCTTTGTCGTGGTCTCTTCCATATAAACGTGACTGCCGTTGATGCATAGGCTAGACTTGGAAACGGGATCGCTTTTGGATTTCAGGCCACTGAACAAAGAGAGCCCTTCCTTCTTGGTGTGGTTAGTGGTTCCTTGGGTCAGCTGCCTGCTGTCCAAAAGGGCTGTTTTACGAGATTTAAACAGAGGAGAAGGAGCTGGCTTCTCTTCCGGTGCATTTCCAAGGGCTCCTGGAAAAAAAATCAAACAGGGAGAAATTCAAGGTACAAGAAAAACCTTTCCTCCAGCACTTGCTGCTGACAGCCTCAGTGCCAGGAGGGGCTTTCCATGGATTTGTTCAGAAAGAAGAGTTTAATTAGTGCTGTGGAAAGTGTAGACAACCCTTTGGAGAAAGGTTTTGTGCTCACCAGCTCAGTGAGTGCCAATACTCACGTTCAGAGGTTGGAGAGGTCTCAGACTCCTCCTCATCCCACTGTGGCTGGAAGTCGCTGGGCCGAAGCCGAACCTTCTGGGTGACAGGCTGCTGTGTGGGCAGGACTGACATGGACTGGGACAGGGTCTTCTGCAGCCCAGGTTTGGAGAAGAGCGCTTTGAACTTGGACTTCTTCTTTTCCTTCTCGACTGCCTCATCCTCGCTGTCAGCGGGCGAGTGGGTGGTGCTGGGCACGATCGCCGACGCCGTGTCCGAGAGGCCGCTGCTCCTCTTGCCCTTGAGCTTGTCTTTGAGCTTCCCAAAGGGAGAGCGAGGCTTGTCCTTCATGGACAGGTCAAACATGCTGGCTGTCATGCTGCTCCTCATGAACTGGATATCCACCTCGATCTCCCCTCTCTCCTTTTCCTTCTTGCCCGGTTTGGAGCGAAGCTTGTACCACCTGCAGCAACAAGGAGACTTCTTTTACCAACCAGTTCCCGAGGCACGGGTAATTGAGAACACAGAGCTTGCTTATGTTTGAAAAATCAAATCAGCCTCCAGTGCAGGAAAAGAAAAGCCTTTAATCTTGAGGCGACGTCACGGTCGCGGCCCCAGGTGCCAAGGAAAACATTCCTTATCGTAAACAGAAAGTTATTGGTAAGGTTTGGTCTGAAACCCAGATCAGGAGGGGTTAAAAAGAAGGAAGAGAAACAGAAACACAGCATGGAATTCCTGTATTTCAGCTCAGCCACTCTCCTCTGCCCTTTCATCTCTCCTCCTGACACTGGCAGAGGCCACGGCTTTGAAGTGGGAGCCCAGCGCAGCCTCAGTACCAAGAGCTGCACACACGTCCCACGCCCTCATACCTTTCATTCCAGCTCCTTAATGCCTCTTAAGCCAAGGAACCCCTAATCAGCAGGAGAGAGCCAACCCCAGCCCTGCAGAGTGCTGGGGATTTCCACCACCTCCCCCAGCTCGTGACTGACCAGGGAGCACCAGGAAGGACATCTGCTCAGACAGAGCCACGTCCCTTCCCAAAATGCGGCTCCAGAACATCAAGCTCTGTGTGGTGAGTGCTCAGGGCACCCCAAACCACAATCCCACCATCCACGTGCCCTCAACCGCCACTCAGTGACTCTCAAACCACATGTGGGCCAGGAAAGAGAATTATCAGCACCGCACACCACTGGGGTTTTGTCTCTTGCTGGAGCCACAGAATTCCCAGCTCCACGGAACCCACAGGAAAGGCTGCCTGGAAAATGGGGGTTTCTTCCTCCTCACCAGATGGAACAGGAAAATTATGGAAGGAAACAGAGCATGCAAATGTGCCTCACCATCAAATTTGCACCTCGAACTCTGAAAGTGCACTGGAAGCAACAAGAAAGAGAACAGGAAAAGGCAATTTGCTCCAGAGAAAAGTCAAAAGTAATGAGGATTACCGAAGGCGATGGATTCAGGAATCTGCTACAATTCAGAGGGATATACAGAAGAAAATTCTTCCCTGTCAAGGCGGTGAGGCCCTGGTTGCCCAGAGAAGCTGTGGATGCCCAATCCAACCTGGCCATCCACAACTTCCAGCCTGGAGTTGCAAGGTACTGAGGGAAAGGATTTTATCAAGAGACTGAGGCTTTGCCCAGTCCCTGAAGCTGCAGCCTGGGAATCACAGATCCTTTGCCTTTAACATGAGCCAGCACTGGGCACTTTTGTTCCAAACCCGTGGTTTCTAGGAGCATCCTGCGCTCGCAGGGCTTCGGTGCCACAATTGATCCTGTGTGCTCCCTGCCCGGGAGCAAACGACGTGTTCAGCAAAGGCAGCTCAGCCCTGACCAAACACAGCCCTACTAGAAGGAAATTATGGACTGATAACCTCCAAAACCACAGAAAACCCACATTAATGGCATTGATCGTGTTCGTGAGCACCTGCAGATCCACGTGTATTTATTTTCCAAATAAAACCAGCCCTTTGCAGCCGCACATCACCACGGCAGCCAGGACAAAACGGGCTTCGAACAGGAAATTGAGGGCTGGAAACAACCGAAAACATCGGGAAATTTCCCCAGGAGCACCAAAGCTGTGTTTTCTTTTCTCCTCCCCCTCGATTCTCCTTTGCCCAGACAGACACAAAGGCACCCGCTGGGGGCCCGAGGCGCTGGCCCCGAGCTCTGCTGACCGAGGGCACGCTGGGCTCTGCAGTGTAAACACAGCACTGCCTGACACAGCCTTAATGAACCCACGGCCTAATTAAGCCTTGACAAGGGTCGACAGCTTCGTCAGGCAAGGCAGCAGCTCCTGGCCCTGCTCAGGTGAGCCAAGGGAGGAAGGTGACTCACCGGCCACATTACAAGGCTGCTGACTCCCAGTAAAACCCTCCCAGAAACCACCCCTGGATTTCACCGCCCTGCTGTTTATGTTCAAAGCAGCAAGTGTGACACAGAGCTGGAGCTGGACATTAACGACCCCGGCTCGGTGTCCTGCTGGCAGCACCGAGGGCGGCCCGTGGAACATGGAAATATCCACCCTGACATGCGCCAAGTGTTTATTAAGGAAAAATAAATAAGCAGCTGGTGGACCCTGCACTCATTCCCCGCTGCAGGGAGGCAGCATTCCGAGGACACCAGGTTTCGGGAGCCAGCCTGGCTGTTCCCTGTGTACAGTGTCAGCACACACATGGAAATAGCGAAGAGTCAAACCTAAGGACCAGGCAGGACTGCCTGGAAAAGCTCTGGACACGTTTCCCCAGCCTCTTCCAGGAGCTGTAGGGGGCTCATCCACACTGGGGGAGACCCTGCCCCAAGGGGTCACCCCATGGGCACTTAGGGGGCTTGAGGGGTCCCCGTGGGGCATGGGTGTCCCCCAGGAGAACCCCAGTCCCCTATGGGGCATAAGGATTCCCGATCAGATCCACACACGCCTGTGGTGCACAGAGGTTTCCACGAGGATGAGGAACATCCCAAGGGGAACTGGGGGTCCCCACAGAGCACCAGACCCCGGAGGGGCTCAGAGGGCCCCTCTCAGCTTCCTCCCCGGACCCCGTGGGGCGCAGAGTCCCCTCTTCATCCCTCTCCCCAGCTCCCGTGGAACGCAGAAGCCCCCGTACCCCTCCTCCTGGCACCCCCCAACCTCTCCCCATCCTCCCTGGGACACAGAGGGTCCTCCCCATCCTTCTCCGCGGGCCCTGTGGTGCCCAGAGCATCCCACCCTGTGCCTCCCTTGGTCCCCCCCGGTGTCCCCCGGTCCCACCTGGTGTGCCGCCGCCCTCCGTCGTCCCTCAGCGCCGCCAGGTCCACCTCGGCCCGGCCCAGGAACTTGTCTGCGCCGGTGAGGGCGCGGTGCAGGACGGTGAGGCGGAGCGCGGGCCGCGGGGGCAGCTCGAAGGTGGCCTCCTCCCGCCACAGCGGCTCCCCCCGGCACCGCTCGGCCACCGACGTGCGGAACTTGTCGCGGCCCAGCGCCATCACCGCGTACGCGTCGCTGCCGCCGCCGCCCGCCGCCTTGGAGCGCAGCCCCCGCGCCCGCAGCACCGTCACCCGCGCGTGGGTGGGCGCCCAGCCCGCGGCAGCCATGGCGGGAGCGGGGCCGGGACGGGACCGGGATGGGATGGGAATGGAAGGGGACCGGGAGCGGCAGCGGAGCCGCCCGGTGCGCCCGCCCCGCCCCTCTCGCGAGAGCGCGGGGTGGGCGGGGACTGGGAGGGGCGGGGTGAGTCATCCAGGTGTGCACAGGTGTGTACAGGTGTGTACAGGTGTGTGTGTGCAGGTGTGTGCACAGGTGTATGTACAGGTGTGTGCACAGGTGTGTGCACAGGTGCATGTACGGGGATGTGTGTATGTACAGGTGTGGGATGTTACAGGTGCATGGATGTACAGGTGTGCACAGGTATGCAGGGGATGTGTGTATTTACAGGTGCATGGATGTACAGGTGTGCACAGGTGTGCACAGGTGTCAGTGCAGGTGTGTGTACGGGGATGCGGCTTTGTGCAGGGGCAGGGCTGCACGTTGATCCCAACAGGCACATCGGAGAGATTCCTCCTGGAACACAAGGACCGCTACCTGGCAGGATAACTGCTGCCAGGGCTGTGCAGGGCACTGTGTCCTACCTGAGGAGGCAGAGCAACAGCACAGTGCAGCCTTCCTCCTCCACACATGCTGGAGCTGGAGAGGCCCCAGGACCCCTGTCCTGGCCGCAGCCCACAGCTCCCCAGGGGCTGCTCACTGCCCAGCCCCACATCAGAGGCATGTGTGGAATAGGTTTTCCCAAGAGGATGCAGGGAGGGAGGGACAGGAGAGCAGGTGACACAGGAGCACAAGAGCACAGTCCAGACTGACCCCAGGGTATTTGCACTTTCCCATTTTTATCACCAAAAAAAAAGGAAAAAAAAAAAAAGCATTTCTGCGAATGTGGGAGCAATAGAGGGGTCAAGGAGAGGAGACAAGGAATGATACTCAAAGCCCAGACAGTTTGTGTGCCCCTGCAAGGATCTGTGACATTTGGCACAAAGCACTGGCAGGTTCTGGCAAGGGGTGTCCCCACCATCACACCAGCTCCACTCAGACCTCTCTGAGCTGCCCCTATTCTACCATCCCCCATCACCATCTTCATCTCCCACATCTTCCTCCGAGAGCTCTTCCTCCTCCTCTTCAGAACTGACGTCATCTTCCACTGGGGAGAGAAGAGGCAGGGCTGCAGTGGGGGTGGCCCTGACCAACCGAGGGGGGTGAAGCCCCTCGGCTGTAAATCCCATCCCACGAGCAGGAACACGGACACCCTCCCACCCCACAGCAGGGAAACTGGCACAGACCACCTTGGCCAGCCCACAGCTCCCAGCAAGCACCAACTGCCCCCTGAGTACCCTCCCTGAACCCTGGGGCAAAGCAGAGAACACAGGCTGCCACAGAAGCTGCCATGGGACCCTCAGCCCACGTGCCCACCCTGACCCCGCAGCTTGGTGACACTCACAGGTGACAAGCTGCCCGCTGAGATAGACTGGCCCAGACCCACACTGGAGCACGAAGGTGACAGGAGGGACCAGCTCCAGAGCTCTGAGGCTGATCTGCAAAGAGACAGAGCTCAGAGACCCCCTGAGCCCAGCGGGAGGTGATGTTGTCACCCCACGGGCACCCTTACCATGGGCAGCACCGAGCTCCGCAGCGTGGCGATGGGCACCGGCCTGTGCTCCCCGGAGGCGTTTTTGGAGTCAACAGCCACCACGTGCAGCTCGTCCCCGGCGTCAGCCCCCAGGCAGATCTGTGGGGCCGAGCAGAGAGCTCGTGGCACGGAGCTGCCAGCCGGGGCTCCGGCAGCTCCTCGGCAAGGCCCGGATCTCACCGTTCTCAGCAGCACCAGGTGCTCCAACAAGTCCTCAGCCTCCTTGACCACGCAGCTCCGGGCACCCGCGCCCAGCTGGCAGCCTGGGGGATGGCACAGCCTGTGCTTGCACAGCTGCCCCCTCACAGAAGCAAAGGGGAGGCTTTCCCAGCTGGACACTCCAAGGGAAAAGGGGGCTCACACCCAGCCTGGCTGCCTGCAGAGCACAGCCACTGTCCCCCCACTCACTCCTGCCACCAGGTGCCCCCAGAGCATCCTAGGGCTCACCGCTCCGTACCCCACAGTTCAGCCACGGGCCTCTCCTCGGATAGCAGCAGGGAGAAGGAAAGCGAGGTGTCCATCCTCCACAGCAGATCTGACACCAGGGACCAGCTCCTGGGAGACAAACAGCAGAGAAAGCAGCACCCACAGAGGAACAAGTACCTGCTACAGCACCAGCTGCTAATAAGGGGAAGGGCGATCCCAGGGAGGTGAAAGCTGGGAATGCAGTGCAGGTGGAGACAGGGGGGTAGGTGACACCAGTGCACCCACCACCCCCTCACATTCCCCAGCAGCACCCAAAACCCATCTGAGCCCACTTTAGCTTGATTAGAGCCTTGCCAGGGGGACCTGCAGAGCCCTGGGCCCCCCATTCCCTGGGCCAGCCCCCCTTTGCCTCTGCAGCGTGGGGAATCACTCATTTACCCATCTTCAAGGGTGTAAAAGAACACCTCGTGGGCTGCTTTGGACTGCATGGGAGGATGAGGTCATGTGGGCTAGGGGACACACAGAACCTGTTTGTGCTTGGGGACAGCTGCTGGGATCAGAAATGAGCCCCCTGAGAGCCACCAGAGCTACCAGACTGGGGAGGTCTGAGGCTTTGAAATGGGTACACTCACCATGAGCTGCTTTTATTCTCTTTATTTAGTGATTTCATCCTTGCAGGGTGTTAAAAGCAAAACACACCAGGGGAGAGTCCCAGCAGGGCAGGCAGACCCTGTGGCAGCCCAGGTCCCAGTTCCCGTGCAGAAGCTGGGATTTCCCTGGCGCCAGGAGGTGGCACTGGGCACCTCTGTCAGCTCTGCCTGCCCTTTCAGGGTGTAGGGACATGTGGCAGGGCTGGGGGTTGGCACCATGGCACGCCTAGAGCCTGGCTTTTCTCTGCCAGCCACAGCCCCTGGAAAGGGGGATGCACCCCCTGAGCCTCAGACAGCCCCCCAGGAGCTGCACATGGAGCAGCTGCACATGGAGCAGCACCCTCTGCTTGGGACGAACTTGGAGGCATCACAGAGACTCAAAGGTTTATTTCACACAGCGGGGGGGGAACAAACCAGGACAAAACCTGTACAGTCACTGCCATGATGTATTTACACCAACTCACGCCCACAGGTGCTGCGTGGCAGCGTGGGCAGGGCACATCTGTGCACGTGTGGGATGAGAATCCACCTCCCCTCCCATCCCCGGGGCAGCACAAACATGGAACCTGCCCCAAATGAGAGGGAGGAACTGCAGGAGACCTGACAAGGTCATAATTGCCTGGTTTGAGAAGTCCTTCATGCTCAGAGCTCTCCTTGCTCCCCTGAGCCTTTCCTCTGCCGAAGGCATCGCTGCAGCTCCTGGGATCGCACCCAGCCCTGGAATGCAGCAGCTGGGCAGGGATGGAAATCCTTGGAAGGGCCTGTGCATGCAGGAAGCTCTTCTCCCTTCCAGATGGACTGTCTGAAACTGGCCAAGCCCAGGATGATGAGGCCGTTCATCCTTCAAGAGAGCAGAGCTGCCATCTCCACATCCCACTGACAGTCTCCACATCCCACTGCCAGCCATGCCAGGAGCACCCTGGGTGGGAGCTTGTCCCCTGTCCACACATCCCTGAGGCCACGCTGCCCCTTGGCAAGCAGCTCCAGAGCTTTTCCCCAGCTCCAGGTCTCCAACACCAATGGCACAGAGGAGCCGGTGTTGTCCCTAAACCACCAGCGTTCCTGAGGGAGATCTCCCTCCTCTCCAGGTTGGTGCGTGCACCAGAGGGTCCTTCCAGCACCGTCACCCCCGGTGCTGCTTCTCCGTCCCCAGCCCTGCAAAAAGAGGGTGGGAGGTGACAAAGGGTCACCCACCGGGCTCAACTGGGGACAGGGACCCACGGCCACCATCCCAGCAGGCACAGAGGGGGATTCAGGAGCACCACACACAAGGTCTGGAGCTCCAGTGAGCCAAGGAGGCAGCGGCCCAGGCTGACACTGGGCTCACGTGCCCAAAACCGTGGGTTGGCCACAGGCTGCGCTCCCCAGGGAGGGCAGAGGAGAGGCCGGAGGGGTGATGGCCCAGCCGGGGGAAACACTCACTCTCCTCCCTGCTCTCGGCTGCTCCCGGTCAGACAGACGGACCCACGGGCATGCCTCTGCCAGCAAACCTGAAACAGAGCACAGGGGGTGGGAGCCCAGACCCTTCCCACCCCTCACCACCCCGTGTTCTCATCACCGGTGAATCCCAGGGAACACCTCTGGCTCCCCTCTCTGCACACTGCTGCTGGCAGGAACCTCTCCTGCCCTCAGGCATCAGAAGGGGTTTTGACCAGAGAAGCACGGTTAAAATCTGCAGTAACCAGAATAACTCCAATTTTGTCATACTAATAGAAAAAATTCAGAGTGGAAAAACCCCACGCTGTAATGTGGAGGTGTTTTAGGGAAACATAACAGGAAAGGGCAGTGGTTCCCAGTCCCAGACCCCAGCACCTCTCCCATGCACCCCAGGGTCTGCCTGCCCCCCCAGCTCAGGGGTCTGCCTGCCCTCCAGCTCTGCACTGCGCTATCAGACCATGGACCCACCACTGACAGCCCCCCCAGTCACTCCCCAAAGGGCTGGACACCCTGAGCCCCTCCAGGCAAGTGCCTGCCGGTACCTACTCGTCAAGCTGTGAGCACAGCGTGGTCTGGGTGCCCTGCGGCCGGGACTCGCCCAGCGGCCGCTGCCGGTGCCCACTGCCCTGGGCCGGGGGCGTCTCCTCTGTCCTGCTGCTGCTGCCCCGAGCCTCGCCGTCCTCCCCGGGGCACGCAGGGGCCACCTTGCTGTCCTCTGGGGGGCCCCCCCGGGGGCTGAAGGCACAGGGGGAGCGCTGCAGGTCCTGTGACACGGCGTGGAGCCGGCGGTCGGCGCGGCGCGGGCAGCACAGCAGCTTGCGGAAGGCGCTCCTGAAGTCGGGGCTGCGGCAGTAGATGATGGGGTTGAAGGCTGAGTTGACGTAGCCCAGCCAGTTGAGGAAGA